CCAACAAAGATTCCAGGAGAAACAAGTGGGCGTTAGAAATACTGCCTCCAACATACCCTTCTCAATCTCTCTCCTTCTCAATCTGAATGATGAGTTTTTCAGCTTTTTCCTAGAAACAGAACATCTTTTCGGGCACTGGGATGATGCTTGCTGATTTGGACACCCCTACATAGTTCATAGGCTCTGAAACACAGGGAATTGCAAAAACACCCAGGTTTGCTGAGGACATTCAGTGTCATGTAGGTATGCACACCTTGCCATGTCCTGGGGCCACCAGACTTGTTCATACCTGCTTATCATTCCAAGACGCGGAGCAGGAAGATCTGTTCCTATAAGACACTTACACAAAAGAAAACGCCGGACTCTCCTTGGAACAGAACACATGCCCCGTCCCAAGCAATTCCAGACAGCAGGGGTGGAAGAGGTCTTATTGGAGTTCAATAAAAGGTTTAGTTTTTGCCTTGTTCTCCTTCCCCTGCACTAAATCACAGGAATATAAAAACTAAGACCAGTAATCTCTTACAAATGCAAATAAAAATTATCACTTAGATTATGTACCTCCTGCTATCCAATACTTCTTCCAAGCCAGGTATAAAAACACCACCAGACAGGATTTGAGCACTGGACATGCTAAGGTTGAAAGTGTCTTAGTATGGCTGGGTGCAGTGGCTGACACCAGTAATCCCAGCACTTTGATAGGCCGAGGCGGGTGGATCACCTGAGGTCAGGAGTTTGAGATCAGCTTGGTCAACATGGTGAAACCCCGTCTCTACTAAAAATACAAAAATTAGCCGGGTGTGCTGGCAGGCTCCTGGTAATCCCAGCTACTCAGGAGGCTGAGGCCCAAGAATCGCTTGAACCCGGGAGGAGCAGTTGCAGTGAGTCGAGATGGTACCACTGCACTCCAGCCTGGACAACAAGAGTGAAACTTCATCTCGAAAAGAAAAAAAAGACTGTCTTAGTATGAACTGGACACTTAGTACGTATACACTAGAAAATGAATACTGGAATCTGAAATCTTTCAGGGAAAGAAGAGTGGATAAGAAGGGAGGAGGAAAAGCACTCCTCTTTCCTTTACTCAGGATGGAACACTGCCTTCCAAATCTGGTCCACTTCTCTTTGCCCAGGAGTGGCTGGAATCCGTGTACTTTTACCGCCTATGGTTTCACGGTTAGAAATCCGTCCCTAAAACTTGATCAGTAAGCTATAATTTTCCCTCTCCAAGATTACTCCATTGTGTAGAGATTTTGCTTGCTTGTTTGTTTGTTTATTTGTTTTAATTCTGATGAGACGCTAAAAATATCATGGGACTTATTGTTAACAAGGGTTGCTAAGTGTTTCTAAATCAGGATTTCAATGGATTTTGCTGCCATTATATGTAAGCTTTCTCTGAGAAAGAATAAGTATGATGAAAAGGGCCAGGATGCAAATATACTATCCTGCTTGTTTTATTTTAATTCAGTCGAGACTTTCCTCAGTCATTTAAGCCAGCCAAAAGCATTTTAAATATTACAAGATCCCAGGTATCTATATGATTTTTCATCACTGGGTTCCTAGCCCTTTACTAAAGTGATTCATAGTATATAATAGATGATCAATAAATATAGACTGGGAGGATGAAGGGGTGACTGCGTAAGAGTATGATAGAATTAATGGGAAGCGGTTTCAAGGTTCCGACTGGTTCTTTCTTTCTCTCTTCAATTCATCATTCAAAACTCTATTTCCTAGAAAAATACACAAATTATGCCAGGTGAGCCTGGTTGTAGGTGATCTCTAGGCTGTCTCTGGCTTCTCTCCCACAAACTTTTCTTAAATAACCTGTCAGAGTGCTTGCTCCTGGTTTGTATAGAGCATGTAAGTTGTAGGAGTGTTTCCAAACTCCTCTGATTGGAACCATCACCTGGGATGCTTACTAAACACACAGCTTCCCAAGTTCCTCCTATGGATCGCAACTTCAGTTGCACATTAGATTCAACGGGGGAGCTTTTAAAACTCCTGATGACCAAGCTGTCTTTCAGACCAACTCCATCGGAAATTCCGGGTGTGGGATTCAAACATCAGGAGTTTTAATGCTCCCCAGGTGATTCCCGTGTGCAGCCCAGTGTGAGTACCACCGAAGAGATTGTGAATCAGCAGATCTGCTTTGAGACCTCAGAGATTCTGCAACAAACCCCAGGTAACATTGGCCAGTTTCACCTAGAACCAAATGGTTTAATCAACGAAACTACTTGCTAATCATTGTTTTTTGTTTGTTTGTTTTGTTTTTTGTTTTTTGTTTTTTTCCCTTCTGAAACACCAAGCAAATCATTAGACTCATATTTTGGCTAGACTGAGATTTTTAGTCGACATCAAATACACTTTAAATTGATCTGCAAAGTCAAAGGAGAGTAACACATCATCACCATAAAACCCCAAAAAACTTGAGACAAAACTGAATTAAGACAATTAATGACCCAAAGTGAGCTTAATGATGACCGTGATAGTTAAATTCTGTTCGGTAGGACGAGACTCATTTCTTTAATCTATACTGTCATTAAAATGGACTACCATGGCTCCATGATAATTTGAATGGTTTAATGTTGCTATTTAGGAATGAAGAATAACAGAGTTTACATCTTGGCTAATCCATTAACAAGCTGAGGGACCCTATGCAAGTTACTCCACGACTTTGTGCCTCACTTTCTTCATCTGTTAAATGGAAATAATACTGTCTACATTCTTTCAATATTATCCAGAATATTCTCTTAAATGAGATGATATAGACGAAACAGGAGCAAACAGCAACCACTGATAACCCTCCCTTGTGACCCCATGTAGTTATTTATTAAAAGTCAATAACCTCTCTTCACAGGAACTGATTACGTAATGTTTTATGGTATTTTTCTGTTCATACAGAAAAGCAAGAAAGAGCCCTGGGTCAGAAGTCAGACAAAGTGGATTCTAACCCACATATCACTACCGCCTAGCTGTGTAACCTGCAGTAACAGCCTATTTCTCAGGGCCTCAGTTTCCCTCGACACCAAATAAAGTGCTCCAAAATTTGGAGACGGTTTCAAAGCCATCTTAGAGTCCCTTACACCTGCCACAGAGTGTGATTATCTTTGTTGGTAAACTAAATGTCAGGGAAACACTCCGGCTTTCTTCTCATTTATTTCAGACTTTCACGCCATTGGTGGTCTACTGATCATTTCATCTCTTAACTAGAGAATTAGATCAGCACAATCCAGAGAATAAAAACTAGGCCTACCTTTACTAGAAAAGACGATTTGGATTTCAGGGTAACACAGATGCAAGAATATGTGGCTTTTCTGCCAGGCCCAGTGGAAGTGTATTCAAGGCTTGTTCCCTTCAGGGACAGCCGGCATCACACCAACCTCACTCACAGTCCAGTGTTAACAGGCACTCCAAAACCTCCTAAGAGTGTATTTCATAAAAGCAGGGCCTGTCCAAATCCCCTGTAATGTCTCCAAAGGGAAAGGACAGAGTCAACAACCAGGGCCGTATCTGTGCATTCTAAATGCCCCAAACCTCTATTCCCTCTCTGAGTTCTCACACGCACGTGTGCATGCACACACACACACATAAACACCGCCATAAATATATACACTCCCATTTAATAGACTGGGGATTCAAATTACAGTTATAGTGTCATAAAACTGACTAACTGCAGGGTGTGTGCTGAAGTCTAAGTGCGTGTGTGAGGTGGGTGGGGGTGGCCAGCTTACAACCTTCCTCCTTTCCTTGAGGTTCTACATTCTCAAAACGTGAGATTCCTGTGAGACATTTAAATAAGCTGTATTCATAGGAGCAGCTACATAATTTGCCGGCCCAGTGCAAAATGAAAACACGGGGCCTCTTCTTCAAATCGTATTAAGAATTTCAAAACAGCAACAGCAGAGCAGTAAACCAAGTGTAAGACCTTCTAAGTACAGGATCTGTGCATGTGAGCTGGTCACACACCCACAAAGCCAGCTGGGGTTTGAGAATAACACACAGAGAGTCTGGATTCGATTTTTGCAATATGCACCATTTCCTTAGGAAACTTCAAACTTTCCCCCTGAAGTTTCTAATCTGAGTCTGCTGAATGAATTGACAATACATTAACAGAAGAAAAGCCATAACAAATCTACTTAATCACAGCTTTATGTGACATGGGAGCCCTCAAAATGAAGACCCAAAGACCCAGGGTAAAAATAGACACCCAGGGTACCTATTTTTATGCTTAAGTTTGATGAAGCATGGATAGCCAGGTAGAAATAGGATGGGACAAAGAAGAGTCTGATCTAAGAGCAAGAGACTGGGGCAGAAAACCCAGCACGGCCTGTCGAAATTTTTCTTAGCTTCTCTATGTAACATTTCTTCTTCTCCAGTATAGGGCAGGACGTACAATCAAACAAGGTATGTCAGAGAATTTCTTGACGGCCAGTTCTGAAAAGTGCTTGCAGAGGTACCTGGCATCAGGAAAACAGAGTGTCTTGCGAATCAGACTGGCTTGGGTTTGAATCCTGTCGAACCATGTACTAACCACCACAATTTCTCTGACACTTCCACTCACCATTTTGAACTTCAACTTCCCATCTATTAAACGGAGACATGGCAACCCACTCTCCGCATTACAGTTAATTCGAGGATTAAATGCAATAAAGCATAGAAAACAAACAAAAATCGAGGTCAAAGCCCGGTACGTAAGTGTTTCAAATCGCCCTTCTTTTTGGGCACAGATCTTGCAGAAAACACACTATATATTAAAAGTGAAGCTATTGTAATTGAAGAACAAGAGAGATTCGAAAACCTGACAAACGTTTTTCAAACTGTCCGTTCTTTTGACCCTAACGAAACTTCCCCCTTGGGTGGGAAGAGATGACCTTCTGAAAAGGCCCTCCGTCCGCGTCAGAATTTGGGGACTAAAGCATGCACCAGCTGGGAATGGTGACAAGTTGCAAAGGGAAAGGGGGAGGCTAGGCACGGTAAGAAAGAAAAGTCAGCGCTGGGATGTGAAGGGTCCACTGGTTGGTTTTCCTGGCTGGGACAGCGAACGTCTCCGCTCCAACTTTCTGGAGCGGGGCCGGCCGCTTCGCGGCTCCCATTGGTCCGGCGGCAGCTGTTGCTAGGCGGATGGACCAATGACGCGCGAGGGGCGTCTGGGCTCCTCCTCTTCTAGGTCGCGGCTGGAGCCCGGGACGCCGCGGCCTCCGCGCCTCTCCCTGCGGCTTTTTCTCTTCTTCTTCTTTTTTTTTTTTTAAGGCGGGGCGCGGCTGGGGGCGCGGCGCCCCGGAGCTCGGGCTGGTGGAAGGTTCATGTGCTAGGCTCGACCTACCTGTCTGGCGCTCCCATCGCCCTCCAGCGTTGCGCAGCCTGGAGGGACAGGGCGGGACGAGCTGGGGGTTGTTTTTTTTCCTGGTGCGAACGGGTATTTTGTGTTTTAATAACTTTACCAACTCGGTGAACTCTCGCGAGAGCACCCGCTGACTCTCTTGCCTCTGCCCTCCCTCCCAGTCTCTAACCGGCCTCTGGGCCACCTCAGACAGTTGAGACCCCAGCCGCTGAACACACACACACACACGCGCGGAGCCACCTCCAGTGCCTGAGCCCCCAGCCCTTACACACACGCGCGCTGAACCACTTCCAACACTTGAGCCCCCAGCCATTAGACACACACACACACACGCGCGCGCGCGCGGAGCCACCTTCAGTGCCTGAGCCCCCAACCCTTACACACACCCATACACACACGCAAACACACACGCGCGCTGAACCACTTCCAACGCTTGAGCCCCCAGCCGTTAGACACACACACACACACACACACACACACACGTTGCACCACCTGCAACACTTAAGCCCCCAGCCCCTACACTCATACACACACACACGCGCTGGGCCACTTCCAACACCTGAGCCCCTTGCCCCTACACACACACACACACACACACACACAGACGCACACACAGACACCCACGCTGATGCGGGAGCATTTAGCAGTTTCCTTGCTGAAAAAGCAGGACCTCGCTTTAGAAAATGGAAATTGCCCAGGAGGAAAAGAGAACTGAGATGTATGCAGCCCCAGGTACTTCGGATTAATAATACTATTGTTAATAATAATACTATCATTTCCGAGGGCTTACTCTGTACCAGATACTGTGTTGAGTAGTTGCCATGCTTCATCCTATTTAGAGCTTGGTGTGCCCATGGGTGAACAGAGGCACTGAGCAGGGGAGGCAGAAGCAGGAATGGAACCTGTCTGTGTAGCTTTGGAGCTCTTGGTTCTACCCACTTACTGGTGTGGTTGCATGGCTGTACAATTGCCCATGTGCTTATGGCTCCCATCTGGGGATAGGTCTCAGTAGAACCTATGCCGCTGGGGCTACGCCAGCCCCATACAGTCCTATGCATAACTACCAATTCTCAGAATAAGCATGTTTATCACCCTAGGCCCATCCGGCCCCATCACTGTATTTAACGCTTGCATTTTAACTGGATCTTCCTCAAGAATCCAGGAATGAGTTGAAAAGATATGTGTTCTGTATCTTTGGGGAACATTTTCTCTTCATCCTGCAACACACATCCACCTCAGCAGCCTCTCCTCAACTAATGTGGGAACTACGACTCACAGAGGAAAAGTAACTGGATCAAGGCCACTCTGATCGAAGCTGGTCACTTCCCACATCTGTGAGACAGTAGAGCCGGTTCTCTGCCCGGTGAAGCAAGCCTGTAAAAGCATTTCTTTAACAAGTGACTTCAGACTTCATGTAAACTCAACTGCATACTGGAAGTCACTGTGATTCTAATTTTATGAAGAATTATCAAGTGGAGCATATTTAACAAAGTGTGTGGGTTTTTTTTTTCTTACACAGTTTTCTTTTTTCTTTTTTTCAAGGTGCCTTCCTCTAATTCATCTTGTATGGCTTCACCACTGTGGCTGTCAAGATGGCATGCAAAATTATTCCTCTTTCCAGGTGAGGACGCGGAGACAGACGTGGAGACACATGTAGCCCAGTCACGTGACAACACAGTAGGCAGGCCCAGTCCTGGAGCACAGATTTCCCCTCCCCCTCCGCACACCTTAGCTAGCTTCTCTGCCCTCCCTGAGTGCCTCTGGCTTACAAGTTATCCATTTACAACAAAAGGTTGTTTATTCAGAATGTAGGGACTGGGAATGCAGAAGGCAAAAAAAAAAAAAAATTTGAAGTGAGAAATGAAATCTCTTCTGTTTTTTTGTTTGGAAACTGCCTGGGAAGTGGCCTGCCGGCTAGGAGCAGGGTTGGCTGGTGAAGAAGCCCCTGCTGGCATGACTTTTTTCTGCTTAGCAGATGCCTGTGTGCCACCCTCACCCTTGCTCTGAGCCTGGTATTCAAGGGAAACGTGTCTGTACTCACTGTGCTGTTGTCTGACAGGCTCAGCAGAAAGGCCCCAGCTAGCTTCCTTCTTTCCTTCGAAGCAGGAGAAGACCTAGGCATGCCCACCTCCTATCCTAACAGACAGCACCTAAGAGATGGTTCTTTTGATAACTTAAAGGGGATGTTTTTGAACGTCAACACAAGACAATATCGCCCAGCAAGTGAGAGGTTATCGGCTCCACCCATCCCCAGAGACTCACTTGGTCTCAGAGAGATAGTACTGTCTCCTTTCCTTAAATCCCCCTAGCTTAAAAAGCCTAGCCAGAACCCTGCTTATAATCTTTCTCCGTAAAGTTTATCTTCTAACTTTTCTTTAAAACCTATGGAAAATAAAAATCGGGATTGGAGCAAAGCAGCTTATTGTGTTTGCAGAGGCTGATATAATTGCTGGCTGTTTTCCCTAGGATCCCACTGTAACTCTTGAGGCAGCCCTGAATTTTAAAGGATGTTTGCAAAGCAGCTTTCTTCCTGAACACTGTCCTAAATCCCTCCTGTTGTAGCCCTCCACTCCCTCTGTTTGCCCGGCTTTGCCCGGTGCGGTGAGACGCCTATCCACACAATGGTTGGTCTCTCCTGCTTTCAGTTTTCATTTCAGCCAACAGCCTCACGAGCATTCTTTCTCCCTTCCGCAAGTATTCCTGTGGAGTGTGTTCTGCCCCTCTGCTAGGCACTGGGATAGAGGGAGCCAACACAGACGGGGCTTACAGTCAAGTGGGAGAAATAGTATTACCCAAACCTTCACAAATCCAAACTTAACACTACCACAAGGATGTATGTTCATGACACAGTGACAACGTGTGCTAACGGGACTTAAACCCAATTAGGGCGATCAAGACAGGCTTCATAGAGGAACAGACCTGTGAGGTCTCATAGATAGACAGAGGGTAGAGGTTGGAGACGAGAGTAGATAGAAGTAGAGCTAGCACAGCCAAATGCCCTCTGCTGGGCTTGGCATCTGCCTTGAGCACAGTTAACAGAGCCTGTCCAGGCCAATCCACTTTCCATGGATGGGAAATTGCTTTTTACAGAGACTGGTAAAAATTAGCTTCTCTAAGAACACTGGTCTTTCCCTTGAGACAAGAAATTGGGACCATATGTTTAGGCCTGGTCTTGCTAGGTGGGTGTACAACTCACCAAAAGGATAAAATCAACACATTTTTCACTGCTTCCATAATCAGGGAGTGGGAACGTTGGAGTCCTACTGATTTTTGCCTTGGCTCAGGGTAGCTTATATTATTGAGAAATGCTAAACTTTCAGTGCCCCTGTATTGAAAGAGTTCAGATTCAAATTTAACTGAGATTTATTAAGTGCTGACTAGGAACCTGGTATTTCCTAAGTATTACCCCTTGGAAATGTTACAACAATTCTGGAAGATAGAATTTTTCAACCCCTTTTCACAGATGAGAAAACCAAGGACTAGAAAAACCCCTGGATCCTCATCCCAAGTGTTTGTCATGGATGCATGAGGATAAAGTCTTCTTTGACAGCTCTCCCAATGAATGTTTTGTGTCACAGGCTCACAAAATGTCAGGTTCAGACAGCATGTCATACAGACATTTTTTTTTTCAATTATTTGCCAGTGTTTGATCTTTAACATCCTTGACATGTCCAGCCCGAAGTTGAATCTCTCTTCTCTTAGGAAATTCACTGATGAAGCCAGTTTGACTTTCAGATCTTTGATTTTTCAAACAAGCTTTTAGCCTTCAGACTTCCAATTGGCTTAAACAGGAAACATAACCATTTTAGGAATGATATGGATATGATGTTTAAGCAAAGGTAATGGGCATAAACAGAATCAGGTGTACTAACAGCAAAGCTCATTACTTGGTGATTATGCCAATTCTGCAAATAAAGGAAGAACTTAGAGTAGCTTCATAAACACCGTAATCTAAGTGTTTAAGAACCCCTGAGGGCTAGGCTCATCTCCTCTTGACCCTACAATCTCCCCTGCATTCTTGGGATTCTAAATTGCAATATTAAGTCATTGAATTGACCGTTCTTCTCAGTGGCCTAACAATGGAAATCCTTCTAGACCTAATACCATCAAATTGCTGCTCTGAGGTTTACCTATCCACACTTCTACACCGGGGTTGCAGCAGAAAGGGCCGTGAAGTTGACATATTTGGAGCCAATGATGAGCCAAACCTAGAGTCAGTTTCCTAACTCCACAGGCAACCTATGTTCTGCTTCATGTTGCTTCTCCAGTTGGGTGCTCCCTCGATAGACACCAATTGGCTCGCACCTGTCTTAATTACCAGTCACAGCAGTCCCTTCCACCACTACCAAATAGATCTTCTTTTAATTCATCCATCCATCCAACAAATATTTACTGCGCTCCCACTATGTGCAACAGTGAGGGGGTGAAGTGAAAAAGCGGCCCTGTCTCCACTTTTACGATATGCGCAGTTTCATGGAGGAAAGAAGATAATATTTAAAGGGCCAGTAATGAAATGCCAAAGTCCAGTAATTATGTATAATCACATTTTCCCTTCAAAAATTTGTCTTTGGTTCCTGAGAATGGAATGGAAGGCAGAGAAGCAGACTTTACTCTCAATCCTTTGCTAACAACGTTGACATTTTATGACCTTTATTAATTTTTTTCAAGTACCTATCAGACTGTGAGAATATGGTGTCTGTTGGCTTGTTTACCAGTTGATGATCTTCCTTTACTCCGTTAGAACGAAAGTTCCATGAAACGAAGAACTTTCTCTAGCTTACTCACCTCCGAACCTCCAGGCTCTATCAGAATTCCTGGAACCGAGTGAGAACATCATCAGATTTTTTGAGCTAACACATGACTTTCTCCTTCAACCTGATTGAGGCAGGAGTGCTAGAAGCAGCTCAACATCCAGGTGACCAGGAGTTTCAGCAGGCAGTTTTCCCCACCCGCTTCTCTCTGGAGCGTCCTGCTGCCGTTTTGTGTTACCGTCATTCCAAGCGCTGTAGTTTACTCTTTAGCAATTCCTTGGGGATTTGGAGAGAAGGCTATTTTTGTTTTAATAATTTAATTACTGGTTAACTATTTCATCGAAGTTCAGAGATAACTTCTTGAGTTTGCAACTGAAAACCATTTTTTCTACTTTCTCTCCCTGACCATCCACCCATCTCTTCCCAGAAATAGGTGCCTAACATAAAACCCATGTACTTGGCAGTTGGTCATGGAAGCATGTGAACCTTATCCCACCCTAATCAACGAAGGGAGAAATGGAAAACTTGATCCCCAGGTGGCTTCATAGGAACCAAAAAAAAAAAAAATAGAGGAGATGCTTGCATTGTCCGGTGCTGATAACATTTTCCTTTTTTAAAACAATCATTATGTTTGTGCTTGCGGCATGCTTTGTAATCACTTCTGATCGCCGTTCTCTACATCAGCACAGCATTTTATCCTTTTTGAGGAAACTGCAGGTGAGGTCAAGAGTGAATGAGGGCCTTCTCCTTGAGATAGAACAAACAACTCCAACCCTGGAACAGATCCACATCCACAAAAGTCTTTGCTGTCCCTTCTGCTATTTCCTCCAAGGGTTAAATCTCCCACATGATTAAGTGCAAAGGGGAACATCCACTTTCTGAGTAGGATTTGCACACTAAGAAAGAAGCAGCATCTCCAGGAGGTCGTTATCAGGGCTGGAAGCGGGGTCTATGCTCAGAGCCCAGCACCCACCCCATCTCTATAGTGTGGCACTGGCAATTAGGGATGTTGTCTGTCATCCCCAAATCCCAGACTAGGAGAAGGGCAGTTGGATGTCACTGGAGGAGACAGAAGATGGATAGTCCTGGGAGGTTCCTCTGTCCTATCGATGCAGACACACCCGTCTCTCTGTCTCATTGCTTACATCACCTTCAATTTGACCAGATGGACATCATGGGAGGATTTTCGTCTGGATCAGGATTCTTAAAACACTAGCAGAAAGAGCTGGCTCTTGGGAGAAATGAGGATGGGGCCATTAGAAGTTGGGAGCTGGGGTCATTAGGAAGCAGCCAGGCTGTGTGGAGGCACAGGGGAATTTCTGCTCAATAATGGGAAATGTGAACACAGGTTAGTGCTGTGATTACAGCATCCTGGAGGAGGACTCTGAGAGGCCAGGAATAGATTATGACTCACTCAAGCAAAACATAGGGGAAGGGACGAAGGTTGCCCCTCCAGTCTCTAGGAAAGGCACCCCTGTGGGAAGAGATATTCCACTCCAGGGTGTGGATGGGAAGGGTCATTTCAGAGTATCACTCTGGAAAGTGGCACATAAGTATTCTTGGACCTGGGAGAACTAGACCAGATTGGATCAGTTCAATGAAAGCCCAGAACAGAACTCTTTGGAGAGCTTATAAAAGGATCTGCTAGCCCTGGAGTGGCAAGATCACTGAATTGCAGAGTTTTCACCCTGTTTCTAGGGGACAACTGGGCAACTAACATCAAGAACCTGGGGGAACAAACTCAAAAACACAGATTTATTCCAAGAAAATGTTTAGATATACACATAAAGATTTATACGTAAGAAAGTACATCCGTGGGATATTTATGTGGGTGAAAAAATGAGAAATAATCTAAATGTCCAATAACAGA